TTTTTGAATAAATAAATGAATGCTTCTTAGTAATTTTATGATAGTACATTGTATATGTGTACTGTGATTATTTAATCTAGCGGTTCTCAAAAGTGTGGTTTAACGACCCATGGGAGTCCCTGAGACCCTTTCAGGGAGTCCACAAGGCCAAAATATTTTTGGTAATACTGGTCAGGTGATATTTGCCTTGTCACTGTGCCTATGTTTATACTGAGGAGTAAGATCAGTGGTGCATAAAGTGCTTTCACCTTGGCCTGAAGCTCCACTAGTAGTCACTGCAGTTTTCACCACCATACATTTGTCATTAAAAAAAAAAAATAGTACTTTCACTTAAGAATATCCTTGAGAGACCGGGCATGGTGGCTCACCCCTCTAATCCCAGCACTTAGGGAGGCCGAGGCGGGCGGATCATGAGGTCAAGAGATCAAGACCATCTTGGCCAACATGGTGAAACCCTGTCTCTACTAAAAATACAAAAACTAGCTGGGCATGGTGGCATGCGCCTGTAGTCCCAATACTGTGGGACTCTGAGGTGGGAGGATCACTTGAGGCCAGGAGTTTGAGACCAGCCTGGGCAACATGGCAAGACTCTGTCTCTACAAAGTATAAATGTGTATTAAACAAAAGACATTTTAAAGAGAATATCTTTGAGGGACCAGACGTACTAGATTATGCTTGTAATCCCAGCACTTTGGGAGGCTGAGGTGGAAGGGGTTGGTTGAGGCTAGGAGTCTGAGACCAGTCTGGGCAACATAGCAAGACCCTGTCTCTACAAAAAAGAAAAAAAAATTTCCTTGAGGGAGTAGTAAAAGTTACTAAGTTCTTTTAGTAAAAGATTTTAAAAAATAATTTGGGTTGTAAGATGGGAAGTATTAATAAAGAACTTGTGTTGTGTACTAAAGCATAATAGCTGTTTCCAAGAAAAACACTTGTATGTTTATTTGAGTCGTGAGTTAAACTAGCCACTTTTTTTCTGGGAACACCTATTTTTTTTTTTTTTTTTTTGAGTTTGGGTCTCTGTTGCCCAAGTTGGAGTGCAGGGGCACAATCATATCTCACTACATCCTTGAACTTGTGGGTTCAAGTGTCCCTTTTGCCTCAGCCTTCCTATCAGCGGGACCACGGGTGTGTTTCACCACATTTGGCTAATTCTTAATTCTTTTTTGTAGAGACTGGGTCTTGCTATGTTGCCTATAGTGCTCATGAACTGGCCTCAAGCAATCCTCTCACCTCCTGCTTTCAAGGTGCTAGAATTACAGGCATAAGCCACTGTGCCCAGTCTGGAACACCATTTTTCTTTTTTCTTTTTTTTGAGACGGAGTTTCGCTCTTGTTACCCAGGCTGGAGTGCAATGGCATGATCTCGGCTCACTGCAACCTCCACCTCCTGGGTTCAGGCAATCCTCCTGCCTCAGCCTCCTGAGTAGCTGGGATTACAGGCACGCGCCGCCATGCCCAGCTAATTTTTTTATTTTTTGTAGAGACCGGGTTTCACCATGTTGACCAGGATGGTCTCGATCTCTTGACCTCATGATCCACCCGCCTCGGCCTCCCAAAGTGCTGGGATTACAAGCGTGAGCCACTGCGCCCGGCCCTTGGAACACCATTTTTATGTGAAATAATGGCAGGGTTGGGAGCCGTGGTGGCTTGGGCCAGTTGTCCTGGCGCTTGAGGAGGTGAGGCTGTGAGTTCAAGGCCAACCTGGGCAACATAAGAACCTCTCATTCATTAAAAAAAAAAAAAAAAAGAAAGAAATAATGACAGGGTTATTCAGATTTGGGTGTTTGGCAGACATTTTCCTGAAAATTAATAAAGCCTGTCACTCTAAAGAAAACAATTGACAGCATTTGTTGGCTTAAATCTGATAAAATTCTAACTTTCAAATGAAAATTAGAATTTTGGAAAACTTATACCCAGCACTGACATTGACAATTTAAACTGAAAAGACTTTTGAAAAGACTTTTGATAAGATTGGTGGTTTGTAAACGTGATTTTAAAAATATTATCAATGTTTGTAGGATCTGGATAACTTGGTGAACTAGTATTTTCCAAATAACCAGTTAATTATATTACAAAATAATACACAAATTAAAAGATCCATTCAAAGTTTAAGAGACAGGGTTGGCACAGTGGCTCACTCCTGTAATCTGAGAACTGTGGGAGGCTGAGGCAGGAGGATGGCTGGAGTCCAGGAGTTCAAGAGTAGTCTGGATAACATAGCAAGACCTTGTCTCTACAAAAAATAAAAGATTAACTGGGTATGGTGGTGCACATCTGTGGTCCCAGCTATTCAAGAGGCTGGGAGGTGGGAAGGTTGCTTAACCTGGGAGTTCAAGGCTACAGTGAGCAGTGGTCACATGACTGTACTCATCATAGGCAACAGAAGCGAGACCCTGTCTCAAAAAAAAAAAAAAAACCCCACAAAATGGAAGATACATAAAAAAAAATCTAACATAACGGAGTACAAAAAGTCTATCAGTATGGTTTCAGATTCTACATTAAAACTAATCTTTAAGAAACAACCACTTTCTGAGTTTTAATGTAGTATCAAAAAATGATATTCATGAAAGGACTAATTACATATTTTTCCCTTTCCAACTATACATGTCCGTAAGCCTGAATTTTTTTCGTATACTTTAAACAAAACAACATATTGCAAGAGAGTGAATGGAGAAGCAAATGTGAGAATCCAGCTGTCTTTGGTTCAGCTAGACATTAAAGAGATTTGCAAAAATATAAAATAATTCTATAGGCCAGGTGCAATGGCTCATGACTGTAATCTCAGCACTTTGGGAGGCTGAGGAGGGCAGATTGCTTGACCCCAGGAGTTTGAGACCAGCTGGGACAATATGGCAAGACCCCCATCTCTACCCAAAAAAAAAAAATTAGCTGGGTGTGGTGGTGGGTGCTTGTAGTAGTCCCAACTACTCAGAAGGGTGAGGTGGGAGGATTGCTTGAGCCTGGAAGATTGAGCTGCAGAGAGCTATGATTGCACCACTGCACTCCAGCTTGAGCAATGGAGCAAGACCCTGTCTCCAAAAAATAAACTAATGCCATTCTTACTGTCTTTTTTTTGCTTTGGAAAATGTAATTTTTTTTTTTTTTGTAAGAATCTGTTAATGTTGCCATGTGGTTTTATTTGTATTATTTATTTATTTTTATATATTTTTTGAGACGGAGTCTCATTCTGTTGCTCAGGCTGGAGTGCAATGGTGCAATCTCACTGCAGCCTCTGCCTCCTGGGTTTCAGCGATTCTCCTGCCTCAGCTTCCTGAGTAGCTGGGATTATGGGCACGTGCCACCATGCCTGGGTACTTTTTGTATTTTTAGTAGAGACAGGGTTTCACTTATTGGCCAGGCTGGTCTCGAACTCCTGACTTCAGGTGATCCATCCACTTCGGCCTCCCAAAGTGCTAGGATTACAGGCTTGAGCCACTGCGCCCAGCCAGTTTTGTTATTTTTTAATGAATAGATAAATATTTTTAAATTGCTTAGTTTTAATTTCTAATAAGGTAAACATTGATAAATATAACCCACAAAAACAAAAAGCTCTTTGGGGCTCTCTAATTTTTAGGAGTCTAAGGCAGTCCTGAGATAAATATATGAGAACTACTGATTTAATCATTCCATTTGGATGGATTTTAAAGTTTTATCCAGTTTTTTTACTATTATAAACATTGCTGCAATGTACTATTGCACTTTTTTTACACATTTATGATTGTTTCAGTAGGATAAATTCCTAGAAGTAGAAATACTGTGTCAAATGACAAGAAAATTTTTATTTTTAGATGTTAGCAAATTGCCTTTTAACATAGTTGCACTAATTTTCCCACAGACAGTGGAGGAAGTTACTCTTTCCCCATGTATGTCATTGCCAATCTCATAGATTAAAACAATTACGTTTTTAATATTTTGTACTTTTTGAAAATTAGTAAAATTAAGTATCTTTTCATGGCCAGTAGTTATTTGTCTTTCTTATTTTGTAAATTGCCTTTTTAAGTATTTTGTATTTTTTCATATGTTGATTATCTTTTTCTTAACTAATTTAGAAGAGCTCTTAGGAAAAAATAGTTTCTGTTGGTATAGTGCTGAAAATATTTTTCTTAGTTTTTTTGTTTTCTTTTCAGTTTCTTATTTAATGGATTTAAAATGTCAAAGGGAGATTTTCCTTATTCATGTGCTGCATTTATTTATCTTTCCCATCATGGCTTTTGGGCCTCACTACTCCAAATTATAAAAACATGTATCTTTATTTTCTTTTCCTGATTGGTGATTTTTAACCAGTTTGATGTCTTGTTCTGTCAGACTCAAGTGATCCTCAGACTCAGCCTCCTGAGTAGCTGGGACTATAGGTGTGTGCTACCTACTACTCGTGGCTTTTTTTTTTTTTTTTTTTTTTTTTTCTGAGACAGGGTCTCACTTTGTCACCCAGGCTGGAGTGCAGTGGCCTGCAGCCTTGACCTCCCAGGCTCAAGTGATCCTCCCACTTTAGCCACCTGAGTAGCTGGGACTACAGATGCATGACACCATGCCAGGCCTTTTTTTTTTTTTCTTGTTGTGGAGATGAAGTCTTACTGTATTGACCAGGCTAATCTCAAACTCAGGTGATCTTCCTGCCTTGCAAAATGCTAGGATTGTAAGTGTGAGCCACTGTGCCCAGCCTCCCAGCTAATTTTTAAATTATTCATAGAGACAGAGTCAACCTGTGTTGCCCAGGCTGGTCTTGAACTCCTGACCTCAAGGAGTCCTCCCACCTTGGCCTCACAAAGTGCTAGGATTATATAATAGGTAAGAGCTACTGTGCCTGGCCAACCAGTTTGATTTAAATCAAACCCATCCTAGATGATGTGTGACAGCTCAATTTTAATACTAATCTAAATAGGACCTATAATCGCATGTAATAGAAATTTGATTAATTTCAGAAGAAAATCAGTTTAAAGATGATGGCCACTGTTTTAACCCTAATATTAACATTTCCTTTTGTCTATTATTTTTCTTTAGCTGAGGAAACGTGTGAAGCTTGAAGGGAAAGAACTTGAGGAATACTTGGAAAAAGAGAAACTAAAGAAAGAAGCTGCTAAAAAGCTTGAGCAGTCAAAAGAGTGAGTCATTTTCAGACGATTATAAGTCTATGGATGCAATTTGAGAATAATGTGTCTTTGACTTAAATGTTTCATGAAAATATTTTTTAAATCTTCATAAGACTTAATTTTGTTACAGGCATCTTTCAAATGGCTGGAATACCAGATCCTGTCAGTGCTAATATTTTTATACATTTATTTGTTATGCTTTATAAAATGTCAGTCCAATAATATTGAATGTTATTTCGGTCATGTGTCACTTAACGATGGGGATATGTTCTGAGAAAAGTGTCGTTAGGGGATTTAGTCATTGTGTGAACATTAGGATGTGTGTTTACACAAACCTTGATGGTATAGCCTACTATGTATCCAGGGTATATGATATGGCCCATTGTTCCTAGGCTACAAACCTGTACAGCATGTTACTGTACTGAATACTGTAGGCCATTGTAACACAGTGTTAAGTATTTGTGTATCTAAATGTATCTAAGCATAGAAAAGGTACAGTAATCTTATAGACCACTGTTGTATGTGTGGCCCATTGTTGTTGACTGACGTAACTGTATATTATTTGAGTTAATATTTAATTTTAGTATTGATTCAGTAATAAATTTATACATATTAACTTAAAATACCTTTGAAACTTTATGACCTTGATCTATCCTAAAATCCTCCTAGGGCAGATATAGATTCCAGTGATGAGAGTGACATTGAGGAAGATATTGACCAGCCATCAGCTCATAAGACGAAGCATGACTTGATGATGAAAGGTGAAGGCAGTCGTAAAGGAAGTTTTTTCAAACAGGCAAAAAAGTCTTATCCTATGTTTCCTGCCCCAGAAGAAAGAATTAAATGGGATGAATATGGAGAGATTATCAAGTATGTGAGCAAAACAAACTTTTCTCTTACAAATTGGAGTTATTAACGGTGTTATTTCCCTTCAGTGGATTTGATCTTTCTAGTCATGTGTACTTGGTTAATTTCTGAGTACTTCAGCCTGAAGACACAGAAGACTTGTAGTTTTAAACATGAAAATAGAGATGCTGAGGAACATCTAGAGAATATTAAGAGAAAACTGGCAGTGTTATTACTTAGTTGTGCTAAAAGTTTAAAAACATGATCAAGACTTTTTTTCCCCACTTAAAAAGAGAGGAAGATGTAGGATAGGAAGAACTTTGGCACTGTTTAAGTGGTGGCTCACACCTGTGATCCTAACACTTTGGAAGGCCAAGATGGGAGGATCACTTGAGCTTAGGAGTTGGCAATATAGTGAGACCCCCATCTCTATCTTCAAAAAAGTAAAAGAACTTTGGGTGGCTGGTGATCACATTACCAATGGCTTATGTCTTAAATATTATACAGGTTTTTTGAGATTAAGAGAAATATGAGATAGCATGAGTGGAACCATGGAAAATCTACAAAATCTATACTTAGCATTAGAAAAACAACTGAAATCACATGTTGTCATTGCAAATTTGAAAACTCTACCATCCTGGGTAAAAAAAAGTCTTTCAGGAATCTTATTTCCCTGGTAAATGTAAATTGTATAATGCAGTGTCTTTCACTATCTGATTCCTCCCTACTTTTCCATCATGTTTCTGTGTGTTTCAGTGTGTGTTTCCTCTCTGGTGGTATCAGCCTTCTCTGTTTCCTTCTGCTTGGTTTCTTTTTTTCCTTGTGCTTGGTTTTTTTATGTCATGTCTTTGCACATGTTTTTTCTTCAGCCCTGTTTCACCTTCCATCCCAGATTTCCAGGTGCTGAATTTGGCCTCAGAAACTACTAGAAACTTTTCCTGTCTTCCAACACAATCAGGTCCCTCTCTTGTATTTTGTTTGTATGCCTATAATGCCCTCTTGAGCATATAGTGGATTTAGGTCATTATTGGGTTTAATTAGGAAATTTCCAGCCAAGCGTGGTGGCTCACACCTGTAAACCATTGCTTTGGGATGCTGAGATGGGAGTATCACTTGAGCCCAGGAGTTTGAGGCTGCAGTGACCTATGATTGTGCCACTGTACTGTAGAGCCTGGGTGACAGAGTGAGACCCTGTCTCTTAAAAACAAAAAAAAAAGAAAAATCCACTGTCTATTTGGCCCTTAAACGATAGGGAGGAAACATAACAACATTGATTGGGCTTGCTTACCATTTCACTTAACAAGTGGCCAGTCTGTTTAACATATGGACAGTAATCTTTAGCTTCAATTCCCTTAGCTAAAAAAATGGGGATGAGAATTAAATGAGGTCATGTTTATATGGTACTTAGCCTAGAACCTGGCTCATGGTAAATGTGCTTTAAGTGGTTGCCACTGCTCTTGTTATTATGTGGATTACACATGGAGATACTGGACTCCAATCTGGGTCTTGGGAAATAGAGGCTGGAATTTTCAGAGAGGAATGTGTGAGTGGATTTGTGGGTGGGACAAAGACAATTACAAGAGGCTAAAGGATGTTAAAGTGTGGTTATATTAAAAAGTAGAACACTCTCATTGGAAGTAAAAATGGGAAGATAGATGTGTTAATAGTACATTGAAATCAAGATGAAGGCTTATGTGGAAGCTAATGATTTTGTCTTGGTTTTCTTGATAATGTGGAAATGGAGAGGTATCCACTTTCTTTGGATAGAGAGGAAATAATGGGGCCTTAAGGACCTAAGAGGAGTTCTAAGATTTACAAGTATTGGGAATTGGCAAAGGAAACCACAGAAATCAAGAAAATTAATTGAAAAGTATACAGGGCTGGTTGCAGTGGCTTGTGCCTGTAGTCCCAGCTATTTGGGAGGCCAAGGTAGGAGGATTGCTTGATACCAGGACTTCGAGACTACAAACCCGGGTAACATTGTGAGACCCTGCCTCTTTTAAAAAAAAAAGCAGGACCAGATTGCAACAGTACTTGGGATAGCCACTAAGAGCATCTAATGACCTGCCCATTGTGTGGGCTAGTGCCTTTCACTAGCCCACACAATGTGTTTTAAAGAACACTTGTACATGGTTATGAAAAAGTAATACATACAGTCATCTGGTAATTGATATTATGAAATAGCATCGGCTTTGGATCAAATGTATATTTAAATCTTGAGATATGTGAGGACTCCAAAAATTATGCCACCTACTAGTTAGTTATATATGTTATGTAGTATTAGCTTGGTTTTTACTACTTCTAATTAGAGACATGTTTTTTAGACCAGAGGATTTCTTGGTGCCAGAGCTTCAAGCTACTGAAGAAGAAAAAAGCAAATTAGAATCTGGTTTGACAAATGGAGATGAACCCATGGATCAGGATTTATCTGATGTTCCTACTAAATGTATTTCTACAACAGAGTCTATTGAAATAAAGTAAGTGGTTTTGTGACATTTTGAAAATAGATTATAAGATAAAATTTCAAGCAATTGAATTATGTAATTTACGTTATTTCAAGCAAAATTTCTGAATATTCTTTAGTAAGTTTGTGCTTTTAAAATTTCATTTCTTTTTGTATGAAGAGACTTGTGAAGTATGGTGGCATGGTATTTTTTCTTCATTAATGGTATGTGAATGCCAGAGGAATTGAATTGGTGATGCTGGGGATGGGGTGCTTAAATTCTACCATTAAGTTGTACATTTATATGAGGAAATATTATTTCTGGCCTGTTTAGTCTGTAAGCAGGTGAAAGGGAATAGTGTATGTAACTCACAATTTAATTTTTCTGAGTAATTGCTTGTCTCATAAAATATACTCCTTGACTTAAACATCTCTAGTACCCAGATGTCTAGAAAATACTGTTGTGATCTGAAGTAGTTAAGAAACCTTTTTTCCCCCCTTCTACTTAGTTAAATATTACCAGCAAATGATCATTTTGGAATCTTTTTTAAATCATCAGAGAACAAAGTGTTTTATTTGTCCAGTAATATCATTTAGTATATATTTTTGAGTGTGGATAAGGTCTAAATAATACAGATAGGTCCGGGAGAGGTGGCTCACACCTATAATCCCAGCACTTTGTTAGGCCAAGGTAGGTGGATCACTTGAGATCAGGAGTTTGAGACCAGCCTGGTCAACATGGTGAAACTCCGTTTCTGCTAAAAATTCAAAATGATCCCAGCATGGTGGAGCACGCCCATAATCCCAGTTACTTGGGAGGCCAAGGCAGGAGAATTGCTTGAACCCAGCAGGTAGAAGTTGCAGTGAGCCAAGATCATGCCACTGCACTCTAGTCTGGACAAAAGAGTGAGACTCCATCTTAGAAAAAATAAATAAAAATAATAATACAGATAATATAATGTGTATTTCTCAAATCCTAGTTTTATATATTGTATACATGGTAAAAGCCATCTTTTTTAGAATTATGAGAAAGGTAATACTGAATAATCATATTTAATTACAGAGCCCGTGTTACCTACATAGACTATGAAGGACGCTCTGATGGGGATTCCATTAAAAAAATCATAAATCAGATGAAGCCACGACAGTTGATCATCGTCCATGGCCCACCAGAGGCCAGTCAAGATCTGGCAGAGTGCTGCCGTGCCTTTGGTGGGAAAGATATTAAAGTGTACATGCCAAAGCTACATGAAACAGTTGATGCCACTAGTGAAACTCACATCTACCAGGTAAACATGCCAGGAGTTGCCACTGAGTAGAAATAAGTACTTTTTGTTGCAGGTTATGACAGATACATTAGAAATACAGAGATGTGTGAGACAGACATGGATGGTCTCCTGCCCTCAGACTTGATAGGGTAAGGGGCTTAGAACAAGGAAATACCATTTATCACGTTGTTGTGCCGCTGAGATAGGAAGTATAGGATACTATAAGAGTACCAAGAGGGGAAACCACCCACATTTAGAGGTTTAGAAAGGGTTTCCTGCAGAAAGTGATAACTAATTCTATGTGATGTTTTGATGGGTTGCCAGAACAGATAGAGTAAGAAAGGCAGGGAAGAATATTCTAGGCAGAAGGAACCATATTTGCAAAAGTACAAAGGTGAGGAAAATAAAAGAATTCAAAAGTTTTAGAAAAATTCCCAGATATCAGGGTTCTACTCCTAATTGGAACAAATGGAGATGGATACCAAATACAGGACTAGCACAGTACAGAAATGAACTCTGTCTGATAATGGGTAGCTGGTGTCAGTTTAAGGCCGGAGTAATGTCTATATCTGGAAGAAATGGGTGCGAACATACCAGACAGGAAATTTATTCTGGGCAGAGTAAGAGGAAGCAACATTCCAAGAATATGGAGATGTGAAACAGTATGGTATATTCAGGAAAGGACAAGCAGTTCAGTAACTCCTGAGGTATGCCAAGTACTAGAGGATGGGACCGATCAGTGGGTCTCAACCTTGACTGCACGTGAGAATCATCTGGAGAGCTTTGTGAGAGTCAGAGAGTCAGAGGAACTCAGTGCTCTGGTCTTAATCTTACCAGTTATGTTAGAGGTCCTGATTTAGATGTTTTAATTGCCCTGTGATTTCATTGTGTAGTCAGGGTTAAGTATCTCTCTTTTGGAAAGTAGACTGGGGCCCAGTGATCTACAGGTAATGAGGTCATTGCAGGTCATTGTGAGGCTCAGATGAGTGAAAGATTTTCCAATTTTAGTATGTTACCAGAGTTAGAATGTGATAATAGGTTTTATTTAATTTGTTAATCTGTATTCTGTGGGTTTTATTTCTCTCCCCCTCCTTTGCATATCTAGGTGAGATTAAAAGACTCACTTGTCAGCTCTCTTCAGTTTTGTAAGGCAAAAGATGCTGAATTGGCTTGGATAGATGGTGTCTTAGATATGAGAGTTTCCAAAGTGGACACAGGGGTTATTTTAGAAGAAGGAGAACTAAAGGATGATGGAGAAGACTCAGAAATGCAAGTGGATGCTCCCTCAGATGCCAGCGTTATAGCGCAACAAAAGGCCATGAAAAGTCTGTTCGGAGATGATGAAAAAGAAACAGGTGAAGAAAGTGAGATCATTCCTACTTTGGAACCCTTGCCACCTCATGAGGTAAAAAAAGCATGTGCTTTTTTGATTTCTTCCTGAATTTGTCATCCTTCAAGTTTTCATATCTTTTGGGTTTTTTCCCCTACTCCAAAACTAAGTGCGTCTATATATTTTTAACCATTTAAAATACATGTCAGCTGGGAGCAGTGATTCACGCCTTTAATCCCAGTACTTTGGGGAGGCTGAGGTGGGAGAATTGCTTGAGGCCAGGAGCTCTAGATCAGCCTGATTAACACAGTGACACCCTGTCTCTACGAAATATGGCAGAAACCTAGCCGGGCATGATAGAGTGCGCCTTAGTCTCAGCTAAGTAGGCTGAGGCAGGAGGATTGCTTGATGTCAGGAGTGAGGACGACAGTGAGCCATGATTGTGCCACTGCATCCAGCCTGTATGATAGAGCAAGACCCTGTCTTGAAAATAAAATATGTCTCACATGTAGACTGATTTTGGAGTTTTAAAAAGAACTCACGACATGTTTCTGTGTATATGTCTTTGTGTATATGTCAATTCTATATAGCTAAGGAATGAAATATCTTTAGCAAGTCTTTTAAGGTACATAATTGTTTCATGATTTGTTTTTTTGGTATAGATTTTTAAATATTAAGTTTGATGATTGTGAGGATCACCTGCCTGCTTCCAATCAGGAGATTTATAGTTTTCTTTTCTTTTCTTTTTTTTTGAGACAGGGTTTCACTCTTGTTGCCCAGGCTGGAGTGCAGTGGCACGATCTTGGCTCACCGCAACCTCTGCCTCCCAGGTTCAAGCAATTCTCCTGCCTCAGCCTCCTGAGTAACTGGGATTATAGGCATGCGCCACCATACCTGGCTAATTTTTGTATTTTTAGTAGAGACAGGGTTTCACCATGTTGGTCAGACTGGTCTCAAACTTCTGACCTTGTGATCTACCCGCCTTGGCCTCCCAAAGTGCTGGGATTACAGGCATGAGCCACCCCTCCCGACCTGAGATTTATAATTTTCTAAGAAAGTTATACTATTTGGTTTGTTTGTTTTTTTGAGAAGGAGCCTCGCTCTGTTGCCCAGGCTGGAGTGCAGTGGCGCAATCTTGGCTCACTGCAACCTCTACCTCCAGGTTCAAGTGATTCTCTTGCCTCAGCCTCCAGAGTAGCTGGGATCACAGGCACCTGCCACCATCCCTGGCTAGTTTTTGTATTTTTAGTAGATGGAGTTTCACCATGTTAGTCAGGCTGGTCTTGAACTCAGGTGATCCACCTACCTTAGCCTCCCAAAGTGCTGGGATTACAGGCATGAGTCACTGCATCCAGCCAAAAGTCATACTGTTGCACTCCATTTTTTAATGTTGTTCATTCAGTTGAAAGAACTTTTGGTTTTGATATAGTTAGAAATCTTTAATTAAGTTTAGATATAATTTAGTCTAGCATTTACATAATATTGATAGATACCTAGTTAATTAGCAAAGGCTCTAGATATTTAAACTTGGGAAAATATTAAAGCTATGAATCCTACATGCATGTCAGTTTATGTCTTTAGCCCTACTATGAAATTCAGAACAGAGAAACAGTCTCTGTTGCTAGATTCCTTTCTAGTATAACGCTCAAAATTGGGAGGAGGAATTAGAATATTCTTTTCTTCTGTGCTAAAGTTAGTGCTCTTCAAAGTATTATCAAAGCAGAAAGCAGCAGCATTAGGCAATAACCACTTTCCTTGCTGACTGTAGAACCTGTGGCATCCATTGCGTTTGCTCTGAGGGAGGAGTGACAGGGAAAATGGGATTAGGGAGGAACTGGCCTTTGAAGTAAGCCAACAACTGGAATCTAGAAAATGAATTTTTGATTCAGTCCTGCCCATGGCACTCTAGTTGACACCCTTAGGCAAGTGGGTGAGTGAAGCATAACATTACGCAATGTCTCTGTAATGATGAGGTATGACTAATAAAACTGATTGTGAAACAGAAAATGTGAAGGGCTTTGTAATGTTAAATAATGGGGTAAAATTTGGAATAACAAGTTGGAATGTGGTTTATAGTCTTGAAATGATCTGTCAGAGGACTTCAGGGAATAATAGAAAATCTCTTAGAGATTATGTAATATTTTACTTTATTCAGTAAGTTGTGTGTCTGGTGTTTTACTTGAAGTTATTCTTTCCCCTTTGTCCTTATCTAAGGTTCCTGGACATCAGTCAGTTTTTATGAATGAACCAAGACTGTCAGACTTCAAACAAGTTCTTTTACGGGAGGGAATTCAAGCTGAATTTGTAGGCGGTGTACTTGTTTGCAACAATCAAGTAGCAGTCCGTAGAGTAAGTGTGTTTCAATAAGGGCTGAATTGAACACATACCTCTGATGTTTTGTCATTTTGAAATTCTGTAATTCTTGATTGGTATTTTCACAAAACTGAAGATCAGTAATTTATATTCATGATGATGACCTCAAAGGTTTACAAAAGTCTTATTGACTTGAAGGCTCATGAAAGACTCTTGAAGAAATGATACATAATTTCAGTGTAAATTTTAATTATTTGAATCCTCTGACATTTATGTGTCTATGTAAAATTCATGACTTCAATATTATATCCATATGCTGTGAATCAGAGAAACCCATGTCCTGACCAATCATAAAGTAATCTATTTCATATTATTTCAGTTACTGTGTCTGCATATTAATGAATAGAAAATGTACTAAAGAAGTTTTTTTGTTTGCTTTCTAGACGGAAACTGGACGCATTGGATTAGAAGGCTGCCTTTGTCAAGACTTTTATAGGATAAGAGACCTTTTATATGAACAATATGCCATTGTGTAAAGGACATGATGTCAAGAAGTATCTGCTTGACCTTTCTAAGGAAAAAGGATTCTTATCTTACTCTGAGCTTTTGATGTTTTGTTTTGTAACATACGAAAAGAATCTGCCAGAAAAACTTACATGTATTAGATTTTTAAAAATGTAAATAGAGAACATTTTGCAAATGCTCACATGAGCATTCTATCTTTTGGCTTCCAAAGTGGTAGAGTTCTAACAGGTATAGAGGCCCAAGAGTTGACGGTGATTGGTTTTCTTTGCATACTCCTTGTTCTGGAAGGGCTTTTTACTTGAATAAAACAATGCAACTTAGCAAACCAATTCATGGCCTTAGAGAAACATTTTTGCATGGGTTCTTACAAACTGTTATATTTTCTGGAAAGATAAGTGAGAATTATTTAGAAAAGACATGCTCCAAAAAAGAAAACTGTTAAAGCAATTTTTTGAAGCTTAATATGTGTTATGACTCCTTCCAATTTGAGTATGCAATTGTTTTCACAGCCAGGATATCTGTTTTCCACTCGTATTTCCCAGTGATTCACTCGAGGGTAAGGTAGTACACATTTCATTTAGAAATCAATTTTTATTTCTCCTATGTCTTGTTTTATCAAGATTTTGTTGCATTTTAATTTAAAGTATAACACCATCATTTCAATATACATAATTTAAAAGAACTCCTTGGTGCAGTATCGTCTTAAGAGTTCTGCATACATTTTAGAAACATCTTAACCATCAGTTAGGTTCTGTATTAAACTGTTTAGTGCTCTGTTTTTGTTTTTGTGGTAGAGCCTAGCTCTGTTGCGCAGGCTGTAGTGCAGTGGCACTATCTCGGCTCACTGCAACCTTTGCCTCCTGGGTTCAAGCAGTTCTCCTGCCTCAGCCTCCTGAGTAGCTGGGATTGCAGGAACCTGCCACCACGTCCAGGTAATTTTTGTATTTTTGGTAGAGATGAGGTTTCACTGTCTTGGCCAGACTGGTCTTGAACTCCTGACCTTGTGATCTCTCTGTCTCAGCCTCGCAGAGTGCTAGCTAGGATTACAAGCATAAGCCGCCGTGCCCGGCCAAGTGCTTTGTTATTAAGAAAACAAATGTTGAACCTCACACTTTTATGAGGTGATGGTATAATTTAATTAAAAGGTGTAAATGTTTTTGTCTCTTAGGCTTGCTCTCTCCTAAGGTCACCAAAGCAGTGGTTGGATTTTATATACATTGCTACTAAAATAATACTGAAGTTGGAAAAGGTTTTCCTTTTTGTGTTCATGTCTTTCTTGTGATTAACCACTCTGATATAGTATAAACCACTGTGTTCAAGAGTAAAAACAATATATGCAATTTTCATTGAATTTAAGCAGTGAAAGCCATGTTGCCCTATTATAATCCACTGATGCTTTTTTAGAAAGTAGCTTAATCATGGCAGACCTTGATGTTTATTTCTCAAATGGTTAAGCCCTCCTCTTTACCCTTAGTTTTTTTTTTTGTTTTTTTTTTTGAGACAGAGTCACTCAGGCTGGAGTGTAGTGGTGAGATTTTGGCTCACTGTAACCTCTGCCTCCAAGGTTCAAGTGATTATCCCACCTCAACCTCCCAACTAGCTGGGACTACAGGTGTGTACCACTACACCTGGCTAATTTTTGTATTTTTAGTAGAGACAGGGTTTCACCATGTTGGCCAGGCTGTTCTCGAACTTCTGACCTCAAGCAATCCACCCACCTATGCCTTCCAAAGTGCTGGGATTACAGGCATGAGCCACAATGCCTGGCCTACTCTTGGATTTTTGGGAGACTCAATCTTCTTATTTAACTATATATAGAACAAGCCAGTAATATCAGACTTGAATTACAATGTCATTCTGTTTCAAATGCTTCCAAAGCTTCTATTATAGATTATAGTGTGAATGCAAAGTTTACAGACTTTTGATATGGAAAACCAGATACACAAAACAATGTTATAAAAGGCAAATATAAAGAGTATATATATATTTTTTAGTGCTTTGAAAATATTTCACTTAAATTCTTATTACTATATAGATTAAGCCCTATAGTGCTGTTTCTATTCCAAGGGAAAGGAAATCTGAATTTGTTTTATGGTTTAAAGTATCTGGTTTACATATTATATTGTAATACTGATATGGTTTGGTTGTGTTCCCACCAAATTGAATTGTGTTAATAGTTTCCATAATCCCCACATGTTGTGGGAGGGACCCAGTGGGCAGTAATTTAATCACGGTGGCGGTTACCGTCATGCTGTTCTTGTGATGGTGAGTCCTCATGAGATCTTATGGTTTTACAAGGGTATTTCCCCCCTTTGCTTGGCACTTCTTCCTGCTGCCATTTGAAGAAGGACATGCTTGCTTCCCATTCCATCATGATTGTAAGTTTCATGAGGCCTCCCCAGCCCTGTGGAACTGTGAGTCAATTAAACCTCTTTCCTTTATAAATTACCCACTCTTGGGCAGTTCTTTATAGCAGCATGAGAACATACTTATATGAATACCAATATTGAAAAATTGTTTCTTGCCTTTTTTGTTGTCCTAGGAAGAAGAATTAAATTTTAAAGTACTACTTTAAGATGGCTGTGCTAAATAATCATTTCAAGAGCAATGAGTTTTACCTGTTTCTAGATGACAACATTACTAAAATTTCTCAAACGAAAATTTGTTTTGGCTTCAGTTACTTCAGAAAAATATAAATTTTAAAAATGACTGAGGCTGGGCATGGTGGTTCATGTCTGTAATCCTAGCACTTTGGGAGGCTGAAGCGGGTGAATCATCTGAGGTCGGGTGTTTGAGACCAGCCTGGGCAACCCAGTGAAACCCCATCTCTACTAAAAATAGAAAAATTAGCTGGGTGTGGTGGTGGGTGCCTGTGGTCCCAGCTACTCGGGAGGCTGAGGCAAGAGAACCACCTCAACCTGGGAGGCAGAGGTTACAGTGAGCCAAGATTGCACTATTGCACTCCAGCCTGGGCGACAGAGTGAGACTCGTCTCAAAAAAAAAAAAAAAATGACTGAGATAAATCATGAACTCAGAGGAATTTTCAGATCTTTATTATTTAGAAGCAAGAATAGGTATAACATTTGGGCTATCAACTGATAACTGCAAATAATTTGGCTAAAAATAAATTTGATTATAGTATTTGTTGCAGTAGGATTATAAATGTCAAATATCATTGCAAACATTTCTGTATTTTTTGAAATCTCTTAGGTGGCCTGAAAGAGAAGTGAGGAAATCAGTTTTTTAAGGTGAGCCATTTGCCTTTTTAAAAAAATTGAGATACAATTTACATACCATAAAATTCACTCTTTTAAAGTGTGCAATTCAATGGTTTTAGTATATTTACAAAGTTGTGCAACTATTAACCACTATATAATCCCATAACATTTTCATCATTCCAAAAAGAAACACCATGCCCACTAGCGGTCACTCCTCATGTCCCCTTCCTATCACCCCTGGTGACCATTAATCTACTTTCTGTCTCCTTGAATTTGCATTTTCTGGACATTTCATACAAATTGAATAATACAATATATGGTCTTTTATGTTTGACTTCTTTCACTTAGCATAATGTTTTCAGAGTGTATCAATGTTGTAGCATGTATCAGTATCCTTTTTGTGACTGAATATTATTCCATTCCATTGAATGGATATATTATATTTTATTTATCCATTCACCCATTGATGTACATTTGAGTTGATTCCAAATTCTGGCTATTATGAAGAATGCTGCTCTGACCATTCATGTTCAAGTTTTTTTTTGTACAAACGTGTGTTCAATTTTCTTGGGTATATATCTAAGAATAGAATTGCTGGATCATGTGGTAATTCTTAACCTTTTGAGGAGCTGCCAGGCTCTTCCAAAATGGCCACACCATTTTCCATTTCCACCAGTATGTGTTTGAGGGTTCCACTTTCTCCTCATTCTTGGCAACATTTATTACTCCCTTTTTAAATTTTAGTCATCCTAGTGTGTGTGAAATGTCTCATTGAGGTTTTGATTTGCATTTACTTAATGACTGATGCTGTGGAGCCTCTTTCCATGTGCTTATTTTCTGTTTTATATCTTTTGGAGTAATGTCTTTTGAAATCCTTTGTCCATTTTTAAACTTGTTTATCTTTACCTGTTGAGTTGAAAGTTTTTTATATATTCTGGATACTAAACCATTATGTATTGATTTGCAAATGTTTTATTCCATTCTGTGGCTTGTCTTTTCACTTTCTTGACAGTGTACTTTGGAGCCCAAAAGTTTTTAATTTTGACCAAGTCTAATTTAGTTTTTTCCCTTCAGTTTTTTTGTGTTTAGTTTTATATATATATATATATATATATATATATATATATATATATATACACACACACACACACACACACACACACACACACACATATTTTTTTGAGATGGAATCTCGCTCTGTCACCCAGACTGGAGTGCAGTGGTACGATCTCAGCTCACTGCAACCTCTGCCTCCCGGGTTCAAGTGATTCTCCTGCCTCAGTCTCTCGAGTAATGTAGTCCTAGCTACTCAGGAGGCTGAGGCAGGAGAATCTCTTGAACCCAGGAGACAGAGGTTGCAGTGAGCCAAGACTGAGCCACAGCATTTTAGCCTGGGCCACAGAGCAAGTCTTTGTCTCAAAAAAAAAAAAAAGAAAGAAAGAAAGAAAAAGAAATTGATATGCAGAATCTTATCAATTCTGTGCCCACCACCATGCCCAGCTAATTTTTGTATTTTTAGTAGAGACATGGTTTTTCCATGTTGGCAAGGCTGGTCCTGACCTCAAGTGATCCACCCACCTTGGCCTTGCAAAGTGCTGGGTTTACAGGTGAGAACCACCTTGCCCAGCTTTTGTTTTATATCTTAAAAAGCCACTCCTTCATCCAAAGTCATGAAGATTTAATTTTTTTTCCTATTTAAAAAACCATTCCTTCATCTAAAGTCATGAAGATTTACACTAATTTTTTTTTTCTAACAGTTTTATAATTTAGGCTGTTATAGTTAGGTCTTTCATTTATTTTGAATTATTATTATTTTGAGACAGGATCTCTCTCTGTCACGCAGGCTGATGTGCATTGGTGCAGTAACAGCTCACTGCAGCTTCAACCTCCTGGCCTCAAGTGATCCTCCCACCTCAGCCTCCCAAGAAGCTGAGACTACAAGAGTGTGCTACCATGCCTGACTAATTAAAAAAATTTTTTGGTGAAGACAGGTTCTCACTAAATCAGCCCAACCTGATTGTCTCAGACTTCCAGACTCAAACATTCCTCCCACTTCAGCTGCCCAGAGTACTGGGATTACAGGCATGAGTCACCATTCCTAGCTTTAATTTTTGTATATGGTGTGAGGTAGGGGTCCAGTTTCATTTTTTTTTGCATGTGGATATCCAGTTATCTCAGCATCATTTGTAGAAAAGACTATTTCTCCATTGAATTTTTCTCCCACCCTTGTTTAAAGTTAGTTGCTCATGAGTGTATGGGTTTGCTCCTGGAGTTGAAATTCTGTTTCACTGATCTATATATCTATGTTAGTACTACATGTCTTCATTACTGTAGCTTTGTAGTAATTTTTGAAATTGGGAATTGTGACTTCCCCAATTTCTGTTCTCTTTGAAGTTTGCTTTGGCTATTTGCATTTTCTTTCTTTTTTTTCTTTTTTTTGAGATGGAGTTTCGCTCTTGTTACCCAGGCTGGAGTACAATGGCGCGATCTCGGCTCACCGCAACCTCCGCCTCCTGAGTTCAGGCAATTCTCCTGTCTCAGCCTCCTGAGTAGCTGGGATTGCAGGCATGTGCCACCATGCCCAGCTAATTTTTTGTATTTTTAGTAGAGACGGGGTTTCACCACGTTGACCAGGATGGTCTCAATCTCTTGACCTCGTGATCCACCTGCCTCGGCCTCCCAAAATGCTGGGAGTACAGGCGTGAGCTACCACGCCTGGCGTCTCTTGCATTTTCATGTGAGTTTAAGATTCTGCTCATCAATTTCTTTTTCTTTCTTTCTTTTTTTTTTTTTTTTTTGAGACAAAGACTCGCTCTGTGGCCCAAGCTGGAATGCTGTGGCTCAGTCTTGGCTCACTGCAACCTCTGTCTCCTGGGATCAAGAGATTCTCCTGCCTTAGCCTCCTGAGTAGCTAGGATTACAGGCACGCATCACCATGCTGGGCTAAGTTTTGTATTTTAATAGAGACAGGGTTTCATCATGTTGGCCAGGCTGGTCTCGAACTCCTACCTCTGGCTGCCTTGGCCTCCCAAAGTGCTGGGATTGCAGGCATAAGCCACCATGCCCAGACTGAGATTAAGCTTATCAATTTCTGCAAAAAAGCCCACTCTTGTTTTTTTTTTTTTTTTTTTGAGATGGAGTTTCTCTCTTGTTGCCCAGGCTGGGGTGCAATGGTGTGATCTTGGCTCACTGCAATCTCCGCCTCCCAGGTTCAGGTGATTCTCCTGCCTCGACTTCCCTAGAGCTGAGATTACAGGCATGTGCCACCATGCCTGGCTAATTTTGTGTTTTTAGTAGAGACGGGGTTTCTCCCTGTTGGGCAGGCTGGTCTTGAACTCCCGACCTCAGGTGATCTGCCTACCTCGGCCTCCCAAAGTTCTGGGATTACAGGTGTGAGCTACCACGCCTGGCCAGCAAAGGTGTATTTTTTTTTAACTTCCTCTTTTGTTTTTGTCTCACTTTAATCACTTTGTAATTATAGGAAGATGCCAAAAATTACCAAAATCTAAAAACCCAGGGCTTTGCTGGAAGTGAGGCTTGTTGGCTTTTCTGTTTCTTTTCCTCCCCACCAATATACACACATGCACACACAGCTCTATTTTTTAGTGTTTTTCATTCATTACTCACTCCCATTTTATTTTGGCTCTTGTAGTAAAAATGTGATTCCAAATAGCAGAAGTTTGGAGAGTTGGAAATCTCTCCTCGTGGCTGGACACAGTGGCTCACGCTTGTGATCCCAGCACTTTGGGAGGCCAAGGCAGGCATACTTCTCGAACGCAGGAGTTCAAGACCAGCCTGGGCAACATGGTGAAATCCTGTCTCTACAAAAAAATAGAAAAATTAGCTGGGCTTGGTGGCTGTAGTCCCAGGTACTTGGGAGGCTGAGGTGAGACTATCACCTGAGCCTGGGGAGGTTGAGGCTGCAGTGAGCCCTGAATGAATGAATCCTTTTTTCTCTCTCTCTCTCTCCATTATAGTCAAAGAGAACCAAAAGTGTATGTACTTTTTTTGTGAAATTGTTAAGGATTCCTTGGATCCTACTAAAATTTTTGATACTGGGTGATAATTTCAAGTGGAGAATATTAAAGGATTCGTGAGGCCCTCCTACCTCACTTTCTGAGATTATGTTAACTTTAATGTCCAGTTTATCATAGGTGTTTTTTTCCCCTGACATAATTGTTACGTTAAAAATAAACAAAAAAGGAACCACTTACTGTACATTGAAAACTAGTGAAGTCTCTCAAACATGTCCCTGTGGGACACTTTGTTCCAAGGGTGCTGCCACTGCCCTTGTTTTAAATATCTTTGCAACTTCATTTCTCTTCAGGTCTAATTACCAAACTTACTAGAAATATTG